TTGAATAGATATATAAGCGTTTAATTTTCAATTGCTTAATTCAGTTTGTTGCTCTGTCTACGGCGATTTTCCAAAAGAAGAAGCCCAGAAACTACATCAGACTTGGAATAATTTGGACATGTTTTAAACATTGAGCTTACGGTATATCTTGATCAATCATTGACTTCTTCTTTTTTTGACCAAAGATCAATCATTGACTTAAAAACCTGATGTTTTACACTATATTCACTCTATTGCCCACTGGAATGCTGGTATAATGCCTCCTACACCCTAAATATAACATCTAGTGAGGATTTACCACTAACTCTGGAAAAATTATTGGTTTTATGCTTTTCAAGCATGTGGCCATTCTTGAAATCCACTTCATCGTTTACATCTTTCAAAACTTCTCATAAGCTTCTCTTCTACATATATCATTTATTATATTTTTATGTTCTATTTTTCTTCAGGTTAAGGTGCATTTAGTATTCCGAAATATTTTTTTGGGTGCATCCAGTACCCTAAAGTATTTTGTAATGCATTTTGCATCCCAAAGTATTTTTTACAGGCGCCCAACACTCTGAAATTTTTTTTGCCTTGGTGTTGGATGCACCAAAAAATATTTTTAAGCGCTAGACGCACCTAAAAAAATACTTTGAGATACTGAATGCATAAAAAAATATTTTATGGTGCTCGATGCATCTAAAAAAAATTTCAGAGTGCTGGATATACCACAAAAATATTTTAGGATGCTGGATGCACCCGAAAAAATATTTCAGGGTTTAGATTACTTTTAACCCTTCTTTTTATAAAAATTAATACCTTCGGTCCTAATCATAAGACCCAATTGACTAATTTAGAGAGATTAAAGAATTTAGTTAAGTTAGTTATTTGTAATGATTAGGTATTGTTTTTCCTAAAATATCCTTACTAATCAAGTTTATTATCTAGAACTATCATTATTAGAAGGACTATCTTGGAAAAAGTGGATAAATATGAGAGACAAAGTGGATCAAGATCTTATATTTAGGACCAAAATAATAGTCAAACAGGATCTTATATCAAGGATCGGAGGTAGTACTAAACTAAGAGCGAATGATGAAATAGTAGATCTATGTGATGAAAAGAGTTGTTTTTGCATGGGTTATGAATCAGGAATGAAGTCAATAACTTGAAAAAACATGAAGTAGATCACACTCAAACCTATCAGCTCCGCATATTTGGTTAGTTAATGGTCAAACTAAACATGAGTAACAACAGAGGCAATATTACTACAATTTAAAACTTCCAGATACCTAGTGTCTTTGAGTTAAAACTTCCAAAGCAAATTTACACCTACACTCAACTCAAAAAAATAAATGACATGAACAATATATAGACCTGCCAACTCAATATAGTTGGTCAACTAATGATCAAACTTAACATAAATAATGACCAGGGTGATATTACTATGATTTGAAAACTCTCAGGGTGACATTGAGTCAAAAAAATACTCCTAATACCCAGCACTCCTAAGCATTGGCCATCATGGGTTCCAATCAGGTGCTGTCGGCCCATAGGCCCACGTAAATCAACTCTTTTCACTAATAAAAGGGAATTTTGCAGGCTCACTTTTTTTTATTAATGAAAATAATATACATATATATAATATTAGTACAAATCATAATATATAATAAAGTGGGTCTTATATTAAGAATCAGAAGAGTATTAAAAAAAAGCTAATAAGGCTCTAGAATAGCCGATTGTGATTGTGATGGTACTGTTTTCACATGCCAATCGTCCTTATCCATCTACTTGTGTCATTGATTAACTTGGATTTTCTGCAAGTCATAGCTATAGGTTATTATTATAAAGTAAATTTTCTTCTCATTTTATTTATTACAGTTATGAATTGTTGATGTCAAATTTTAAAATTTGGATCGTTGAAATCAATTTTTAATCTAACGATGGTGAAGAAAAAAGAATGGTTCTGGTCAAAAAAAAAAAAAAAAGAATGGTAGAAGAGAGGAAGGGATAGAAAAGAGAAATCAAGTCTATAAATGTCATCTCCAGATTTTACCGGGAGAGATGGCTGCTGGACATTGAAGAATTATGCTCCGTTTGGTAGCAGGGAATTGGAGGAAAGGAAGTAGAACCCATTATTTTATGCGTTTGGTACACGTGAAGTGGGTTCCTGGTGGAAGCTAGTTCCATCAAATTTGATGGAACTCGGCCCCTTAGGTAGACCAGGGAACCGAGATGGGTTCCATGAAAGTGAGATTTTCTGACCATTATACCCTCAGTTGTTTTATCAATTGACCAATTTGCCCATCTCTTCTCCCTCAAACCTGATGCCATCCTCCTCCGGCGTCTATCTCCATCATTGACGATGTCCCCCCCGGCATCCCCTTCGATCTCATCTTCTCCCTTCTCGCTTCCTCCATCACCTTTGACAATGCTGACCTCACGAGGACGATGAAGACGAGGCAAGGTTGGCCTTGCGACGATGATGATGTATGATTGCAGCGGTTTCAACCTTCGATTTTCATTTTGGCTGCTCAAGATCTTTCATCCTCTTCATCTATTTCTTCCATCAACGACAATGGAGAGAGATCAACATTCGGGTCTCTCCAAAGAGTATGGTTTCTACCATCGAGAGGGAGAGATTTCTCTAGATCTGCGAGTCTTCTTCTCCAGAGATGATAGTGCTTTGTTTTTTTTTTTTTTTTAAGCTGAAATCTCTGTTACAATTCGCAGCCCATTTTCATTTCTAACAAAGGTGGTTCTTTGCTTCGATGCTGCAACAATGGAAGTATTTTCTTGTCAGATTTTCTGCTATTATTTTTTCCTATGATTTTGGTTCTTGACTTTGATAGCTGCAACCATCTTCTTTGTAATTTTTTTTTTGTTCTTATACTAATTTTCTGGAAGATTTCTTGTTTAAATCCTGTGTTAATGGCCGCCATTGATAGCAGCGTAGCTGGATTGTAGGAACCGCTATGTGGAGGATGAGAAGAAGAAAAGCTAACTTCTTCAACATATGGGTGTTTTGAGTGGATTAATTGCTATAGGAAAGTGGTTTGATCAGATTTAATTTGCAATTGAAAGAATCCTATCACAACAGTTCTAATTCCTGAATAGTTTCCTCCGTCGGCGTGCTCCTTTTCGAACATGGATTTTTTTTCCCTGGGAGGAAGAGTGATTTTTTTGGGCAAGGAGATTTTAGTATTTTCATATTATTAATATATATATTTTAATTAAAATTTAAATTCTACCAATGTTTTAAAAACCGGATTGGACATTGAATCAACGAAGCTAACGGGTCACAGTTCGCACAGTCGGACCGGTTGGATAGACAGTCGAACCCGGTAATTTAATAATTAAATAAAAATAATATTATATACATATGTAATACTATAAATAAAAGAAAGAGATATGAAATTTTTACATAACTTAAATACAATCAAACTCTATGTAACATCCTTCCAAAATATCAAGTCCCAGGACATTGAAATCATAAAAAATAACATAATATCACATCATCAATAATAGCAAGTATCAACAAGAAGTTAACAAATCTCACTAACAAAAACAAGTAGAAGTTCAAGTTCATGACTTATCAAACATTGGTGGATCTTGATTAAGCCAAGCATGAGTTTTTTGGAACTCATCTCCACTATAACTATCAACATGTTCTTGAGGAAATGATTCCAAATCAAGCCCTTCAACTTTAGAGCATCCAACCTCAGCTTCAATCTCATTAACTCTTTTTAACATCCTCAACTTGATTGACAAAAGCTCTTAGTATTGTTGTATCATCATAAATTATATCTTCTTCTATCTCATCATAACAAAAACAAGAAGAATCATCCTCATCTTCCATGATCCAATACTCAATATCACCAATGCTTTCATAATCAATAGGATCAAAAGATCTTTTCTTGTTAAAAACCCTAAAACACATGACAATGTCAAAGATTAATAAAAGTGAAGATCTCATACGATAAACTTATAAACAAAATAAATTGAAGTAAAGCTTTGGAATAATTAGGAATTTATGGTAAAATACCTATTCTTCAAATGAAAATTATAATGAATAAACACAAGGTCATTTAATCTTTTATGCTCCAACCCATTCTTTTTCTTGGAGTGTATTCTTTCAAATATACTCCAATTTCTTTCACAACTTAATGAGGATAAAGTTTAGCTCAAGAGTCTCATTGTTAATTTTTAAAATTTCGTGCACTATCCCCAAACATCTTCCACCATTCATCTGACACATTGAACATCAAATACAAAAATATATATAAGCAAGTGAATATCAAAAGATATATTAAAAGTCAAATGTAAAAATATAAAAATTTACTAGGTCGTAATATTTTTAGATAGGCAAGAGCCATTGGATGACCGAAACTATCAAGTTGATCTTGATAACGTAGGCTTTCTTCCATAAACTTGGTTTTATTAGATGATATTGCCTTATCCAAAACCATAAGAAACCCAGCCATGACCTCTGGTTTTTGAGAGGAATTCTGCTTGTTATAGAAGAATACAAGATTTAGGAAATAAGCCATTGCATGAAGTTGTTGACAAAATTGAGTATCCCACCTTCTTCTAATAATTCTTGTATAAGGCTTGTATAGGGATTTTTTATTCATAAAAATATTCTTTATGGTTTTTCTTGCCCTATACATGCCATCATATACATACCCAAGAGAAGGTCTCTCATCAACATCGACAATCCGCAATAACCGAATAAGTGGTGAAACAATTTGTACAACAATTTTTTTACAATCATTCCAAAATTTGTTGTCCAACACAATCATAGTCACATCCTTGGCCTTTTGATCTCTTGAATATCTAGATTCTGTAAACATCTTGCTGGTAACCAAAGATTGCAAATCATGTTTATGCTCAGAAATGCTTTTCAATGCAAGAAAAGTAGTTGCAAACTGTGTTGGCCTTGGACGAATAGTTTTTGTCCAACCATCCTTTTTCCTTAACCAAGCCAGAAAATATGCATGATTGTAAACAAATTTTGTAATCATAGATGCACGTGATGCTAAGCTAGTCACAATTTCTATTTTCCCAATATCTCCTAAAATCAAATTCAAACAATGTGCAGCATAAGGAGACCAAAAAATAGAAGGATATTTATCAATTAGTAACCTTCCAACAGCTTTATAGTTAGCTGCATTATCAGTTACTAAATGAACAACATTTCTTGCACCAACAAAATCAACCATTTCAATGAACAAGTTACAAAGATTTTGAGCATCCTTAACTATGTTTGATGCATCAATAGATTTAATGAATATAATTCCCCTTGGAGAGCAGGCAAGAAAGTTAATCAATTGCCTATTAGCTTGATCTTGCCAACCATAAGCTATTATTGTGCAACCAGTCTCTTCTTAAAATTTTCTAAAACTATCAACTAGCAACTGAACTTCTTTTTTGGCGTCTTACAATAATTTGGTTCTAATAGCATGGTAAGTTGGCCCTTTATAACCAAGACCAATTGCTACAACTGCATCTAACACAGCTGAAAGTAAGCTGAATTCATAGCATTCATAGGAATACAACAATCATATAACCATCTAGCAACAGCTAAGTCTGCTATATGAACAGGTTCTTTACCTGCAAGTGCACTTCGTATCCCTGGTTGTGGTCCTGAGATTGTTCTTAGAGCAAAATAGTTATTTATTTCTCCAATCGCCTTTCTTTTTCCAAATTGAGAAGTATTTGGATTTTGAACATTCGATTGGCTCTCTCTGGGATTTTGGACTGGGGAAGAAGCAACTTCTTGTATATTTAGAGCATCACTTTCAAATGATGGGACATCAGGGCCATAAAGATTGTCTTCTTCATAATTATCTTGTTTCTTACTTTTCTTCTTTTCAATCTCCTTTAAATTTTGTTCTAATTGGTAACGAACATCAGCAAACACTTTTTTACAACTTATTGCATCCCTTTTTTTCCCAGCAAGATGTTGTTTCATTCTATGAATTCCTCTACCAGCAAATTCCTTTACACAATATAAACATCTCAAATGTTTTTTTCCACCTGGGGTCTTGCTTGGTACTTGAATACAATGCTCCCAGGCAGGATCTACCTTTAATCTTATAGATTGTGATGCAGCAGTTGATACTTGTTCAAATGACATTTTTTGCAATATAAAAATATAGTTGATATGATATTGACTTGCACAGGGAAGTAAATAACCATATATAGGGGCAACATAAAGGAACTTTGAATTGTTCAATATAATCTAGGTAGTATGCTAATTGATAGTATAATAATAAACTAGTCTTCAATATTCACTAAAAGCATTTGTGACTCCTAAATATGTTTATTTAAAAAATTAGTTTATAAGAAACGAATTAAATAAGCATACAGTCAAATTTTCTTTGTCCTGTGAAACCCACCCAATTCAATACAACTTCTAATTCATGCCATCCAAGTTTCTTTATCATGTAGAAAATTTCATTCCAACTTTCCACTCCATAAAAGACGAATTAAAGGTCAGTGGTGGTCCCCTACCCCAAACTATGATAGTTTTATCACATAGAAACAAAATAAAAAACCAATAAATAAAGAGTAGTGGTCCCAGTTTTATCAAGAGCTTCAAAAAGCATCAAATGCATGCTATTCATTTATTCTATAGTCAACAAGATGCCAAACAATAGAATCAAACCATTTATTTCATACCTTCAAAGTAGACTACTGGAGGGCACCGAACGTCGAAGGCCAACACTCAAAATTTGAGCTGCGAGAGTCACCAGTACTGCGATGCATTTGCTTGAAAAAGGACGACTTTGAAGAGTTAAATCTCAGATGGTCTCTTTGACAGTAGGTGGAAGGTGTTTTTGCCGACTATAGAGAGCGGGGAGGCGACGTGAGTATGAAATTGATTAGGGATTGAGGGTTTTTTGGGATGGATTTGGGTTTTTTTTGGTACAGATATGCGATTTTTGTTTTTTTTTAAAAGTGTTTCTGGGCCTAACATTTGAGCCGTCTGGTTATTTTAAAACCGGCTCGAGTCCCGGTTTAACTCTGGTTCTTGATCCAACAGTCGGCTCAAAGCGGCCCAACACGACTCAACCAACAAAATGGTTGAACCATAGAAAATGACTCGGGAATGGCTCTGGTCAACAGTCCAACCGTCTGGTCCAGTCTGGTTTTTAAATCATTGAATTCTACTTCTATGATCACACCAAATACACTTTTAATCTTACTTCCACTTTTATTTTCACTTCCATTTCTACTTCCATCAAAAACTCTTCCATTATACTAAACGGGGCATTAATGTGTTCTGGCCCATTTTTTTCGAGTTAAGGATACTATGTAGACCTACTCTATGAAATAAGTGATAGCCAAGCTAGCTTCTCAACATGCTCAATTGATCTACTAACTTCGTGCATTAATATTGAAATATACATTTGGTCCCCTTTGGATGATAACATATAATATATTATATCATCTCTTATTTTTAATATAAGAATTTGTTTGATTTTTATTTTGGTCATAAATATAAAACTTCAATCCATTTTGTCTCTCATATTTATTTATTTTTTTCTCAAAGTAGCCCTTATAATAATAGTAGTTCTAATGAATACGCTTTATTAGTAAAGATATTTTAGGAAAGACAATACATATTTATTACAAATAACTAATTTAACTAGTTTTTTTAATCAACTCAAATTAGTCAACTAGCTCTTATATTAATGATCGGAAGTAGTACGTTATTTCAGCCCAACACGTCTTTGGATGAATATTATTCACTTAATTTTTTCTTTTTGATAAAATTTATTACTAGGCCCCATTTGATCAGCACTGTAACTAGAGGTAATCACTTCTCATTTATACTGAATTTTAGATTTTTTTTTCATAATTCACCCACTCATATATTTTTAAAAAAAGTATTTTGTGTCATTTCAGCTACAAAACCTGAAAAATTTTAGATAGACTATACATTATTAAGTTTAAAAATAAATTATATATATTTTATAGAAGTGATTACATACCAACAGAAAAGAAAGAATAACTAAAAAAGAAGAACCTAAACATCCTAATTAGGCATAAACTGTAACATCCCGATTTTTGAGCCTAGAAGTACTAGAAATAGCCTGAATAGGATAGGCTACCAGACCCCTTTTTAGGGTGTGTTTGGATGAAACCAAACCGTGGTTTGGAAAAATGATTCTGGAGAATAGATTCTGGGAAGAATAGATTCTGGAAAGAATAGATTTTATGAAAAAGTGATTTTGAGAAGTGAGAGTGTTTGGATAGTTGTTATCAAAAGCACTTTTTATATATACAAATTACTAAAAAAAAGAAATAAGTTAATATGATAATTACAGAAAAAATAGATTTTATGATATATTTTAATTTAGAGGAATAAATTGTTAATAATATATTTTTTATTAACATAATTAATAATACATAAGATAATATAATTAATAATTAATTAATATGTATATATATTATAAAATATAAAATTAAATATGTTTATAAAAAAAATAACAAGATACATATCCTATAGGCTCTCACACTCTCCCTTTTTTCTCCAAAAGCAAAATTTTTTTGCTTTTTTCAAAACCATGGTTTTGATTTTTGAGGGGGTGTTTGGATAGCATTTTGTGCAAACCATGGTTTGGGCTTCCAAACCATGGTTTGCAAGTGCATCCAAACGGTGCCTTAGAGTGTGTTTGGGTGACACCCCAAACCATGGTTTGGGGTAGAGTCGGTAATATGGGTTGAGCCCGCGGGCTCAACCCACCAACCCGCCAACAAGTGGCGGGTTGGGTTGATAAAATTTAGGACCGTTTTAAAATGGAAGTTTTGAGCCCATAACCGCCAAGCCCAAACCCGTGGCGGGCTAACCCGCAGGGTTAGCGGGCCAACCCGTTTAACCATATTTTTTTTTTGGCAAATTTTTCCCTTTGCCTCTTAGTCTCTACACTCTTAGCCTAGTCCACAATGCAACAGTGAGCAGTCCATGTCCAATAGTCTAACATGGCAACACCAACACGGTCCCATTTTCACATTTTGCTTGCGTGTCGCACTCCTTCCAGACTCCCAACTCTCCCAGACCCAGTCTCCCAGTCGCCCTCGGCCAGTCCTAACCCCCAAGTCCCAAGTCCCAAGCCCTAAGCTCTCTGCTCTTTGTCTTTGCTTTGCGCCTTTGCCCTAGCTCATGAGTGATGATTGAGCACTTGATAGTTGATACTTGATAGTGATTTGTGTAGTGACATTGTGTTTGTGACTTTGTGGTAGTGTTAATTTGGATTTATGTTTTAATTTGAGATGTTTGTTAAATTATTAAGGACATATCATGTTCATTTAATCATATGTTTAATATTTTGATATATTTGAAACTTGAAACTTGGAACTTTGGATGGGTTCCATGTTTTATTTATGATAATTTCTATTTGCATGTTTTATTTTAGGTATTTAGGAATTTGGGACTTTGAGTAGGTTTTATTAAAAAAAAGTAAAAACAAAAAAAAAAAACAAAATTTGGCGGGTTGGCGGGCCTAACCCGCCAACCCACCCTCGCGGGCCGGGTTGAAAAAATTCCAGCCCGTCAGAAAGTGGTCCTCAAAGGCCCAGCCCGCCAAGCTTCAGGCCCGCCACGGGCCAACCCATAATCGGCGGGTTGGCCCATATTACCGGCTCTAGTTTGGGGTGTCAATCACCCAAACACCCCCTCTAAAAACCAAAACCATGGTTTTGGAAAAAGCAAAATTTTTTTGCTTTTGGAGAAAAAAGGGAGAATGTGAGAGCCTATATGATATGTATCTTGTTATTTTTTTTATAAACATATTTTTTGATAAACATATTTAATCTTATATTTTATAAATATATATACAGATTAATTAATTATTAATTATATTATCTTATGTATTATTAATTATGTTGGTAAAAAATATATTATTAACAATTTTATTCCTTCAAATTAAAATATATCATAAAATCTATTTTTTCTGTAATTACCATATTAACTTATGTCTTTTTTTTAGTAATTTGTATATATAAAAAGTGCTTCTAATAACAACTATCCAAACACTCTCACTTCTCAGAATCACTTTTTTACAAAATCTATTCTTCACATAATCTATTCTCCCCAGAATCTATTCTCCAGAATCACTTTTCCAAACCACGGTTTGGTTTTATCCAAACACACCCTAGTAGAGGTCCTAAAGATGAGAAAGGAAGTTAAAGCAGTTTCAGGGACTAAACTGCAAAGTGAAAGTTTTTAAGGGGCTAAAGGATAATCAAAGTTAGAAGCTCCAGTAAAGTCTCAAAGGCCTAGAAAGAGAAAAGAGGCTAGATACAGACCAAAGGTTAAGTTAAAAGCCTCAAAGAGATGGTTTTATGAGGTTGAGCCTAAGCAGGGGTAAAACCGTAAATTCAGAAAGTTACGGCCATCAGGGGTAAAAATGGAAAGTACTTAGAAAATTCTAAGAAAATCTCAGAAAATGGAAAATAATATTCTAAGGCTCTTTTGTGAAGAGAGATGATGAAAATACTCCTGAGGTAACTTAAAAGAAATTTATAAGTTTATGGATCAATTTGAGATGTAGAGGTAGATTTAATTGTTTGAATCATAAGAAAACCTCAGAAAATTATGGTAAAATGGGGATGTATGATCTAAGAGACTATAGAAAATTATAAAATTAGTTTTATCCCCAGAAGACCAGCAAAATGGCTTTAAGAATACTTAAAAGCCAGTTGTGCTGAAAAAGGGCATTTTAAAGAATGATTTTTAAGTGGGGCTATAGGTTGAGTTATGACCTGAGAAAATTCACAGATTTTCTCTAGAATATGAGGAATTTTATAATATTTTTGGATGAATTTTTAGAGCTATGGATTGAATAAAATGCTCCAGTCAAATATTAAATAATTTTGTCTCCTAAATAGGAGACAAAACCAAAGAAAATATCTAAGAGCCATCATAACGATGCTGAGTCATCAAGCGTAATCATGACACCGATGAGTCATCATGCTGAGTCATCAAGCGTAATCATAACACCTACGAGTCATCATGCTGAGTCACCAGAAGATATTTATGGACAGCATAAAAATCAAAACGCAGTATGGAAATATTTTAGACAGTCTTTTGTCTACCCATTATAGTGAAATTTCTACTGCATGACTCAA